TGCTGCCAGGGGGTATCTCAGCAAAGACCTCCTGGGATCTTTCCTGCCCTCTGACTAAAGCAGGCCTGTGACTTCCTTGGCCTTAAGGAGAGGCAAAGGAACCCTCTAGTCTCTTCCTAGGCTGGTGGGTGATGTGGGGAGCTGAAGTCTCAGTGCTGGCAGCGGCAACAATGGCCCCTTGTCATTTTCCCTGTGACCCAAAGATAGGAGCTGCATTGATCCTTCTGGCATCCAAAGCAGCTGGGAACATCCGCCAAGCCTGCCTGGGACTCTGCAGATAAACAGCACGTGGGGAGCGGGGCGGGTGGCTGGGCAGTTTGGCTTCTTGCTGCCCCATTAGGCTCCTTTTCTTCTTCTCCCCTTCCCCCTCCTCCTCAGCAGCGTGTTCAAATCCCCCAGACAGCTACTGGGCACTGCTGAAGGGACCAGCCCAGGAGTGGGACAATAAAATCCCTGACACCACTGTTCAAGAGGCCTCGGGCGGGGGGGAAAGCCAGGCCAGCTGCACGGGTATAAAGCTGTCCCCTGCTCCCGGCACAGCACTGCAACACAGTTGTTTGCCAGGCTCCTCCAGCGCACTCCAATGGATATCACCATTCATAACCCCCTGATCCGCAGACCCCTGTTATCTTGGTTGGCACCAAGTCGTATCTTTGACCAGATTTTCGGAGAGCACCTGCAGGAGTCAGAGCTGCTCCCTTCTTCCCCCAGCCTCAGTCCCTTCCTGATGAGATCCCCCATTCTTCGGATGCCCAGTTGGCTAGAGACGGGACTCGCTGAGGTAATCTTCCCTTCTTAATGCTCTTTGTTATTGCTATGTGCACATCCTGATGGGTCTGGAGCTGGAGACCCATGAGAGCTGAGAGCTTGGAAGCTGCTTGTAGGTGATTATTAGGAAAAGACTGGGGAAAAGGGTGCTGTGTTTGTGCCTCTGCTCCTCTGCATTAGGCAAGAACCTTTGCATCCTCTGATAATCATTTGTGACTGAGAGCAAGCATTGCCATAGTGTTGGGAATAGAGGCAAACTGAGCTGAGTGTGTGCGGGAAATGACTGTAAGAGCTGACAGAAGAAAGGAGGAAGCCTAATTTCCCTGTCTGCTCTGGAAAACATTCAATCCCACTCCCTCCTGAGAAGCAAGCAGTACTGGGTAGTGGGCAGGGGTAGTGGGATCCTCATGTCAGGCAGTGTGGGAGCTCAGGGCTGCTGAGGAAAAAGGGGCCTATTTTAAAAAGTCACTGCTGAGGAGAGCAGTATTTTAAGTAAGATACAGGACCCAAAGGATCATGAAGCAGCCGTCTGTTTGCTTCAGGGGCTGAGCCAAGACGCACGCAGTTCAAACAACCTTGCCTGTTCTGTGAGTCAACTGTCTTATTTACAAGTAACTTGTAGAGCTATTCTAAGCCAAAGGAGTGAGAGGAAAGTATTTTTTTTAACCTTTGCATAGTGTTTCCCTTGATTTAGTGACCTGGGTCTGGCTGTCCGCTGAAGAGCCATAATAAGCACCACAGATAACAACGTCTGACTATCTCAGTGGAGAAATCTTCACAAACAATCTAGAAGTGGGAGGAAGCACTTAGACTCCCAGGTCAAACTGCGGAAACCAGTAAGCCTAGAGCTGGCACAGAGGCTGCCTCCACATCCCAGAGCAGAGCTCCAGAAGGCTCGCATGCTCCCTGATCACAAATGCAGCAGGAAGGCAGAGACAGCCAGCTCATATAGCAAAGTCCCACAGACATGTCCAAGACAGGCAGAAAATGCAAATTCAACCTCAGGAAGCAGCAAAAAGCAGTATTTGTTAGAGGCCATAAAGTGCAAAATGGAAGGGAAGGAGCTGAGATTAGCAGCAGGTGACTCAGAGTTTCAGCAGAAGTCCTGCTGCTCAGATAACAGAGGTGAGCAGTGAGGCAGTACCACTCACCAGTGACACATTATTTTGTTTACTAAGGAGTGACGATGCAAGGGAAAGCCTGCAAGCCTGCAGATGAGCTGCAGTCAGCTGCGCAGTCAGGATTTCTTTTGCTTGAAAGACTTGCAAAGTCCAGCCACAGAAACTGGAAACCTCCAGACATTCTGTAAAAAGAATTGGATGCGAAACCTGTACGCCAACTAAAGAGTCAGTTTTAACAAATTCAGCTTAAGAGAATCTTTTCCTCACTCCCAAGGAAAACATTTATCCCATGTGATCAAGAGAAGGCATTCACATTTTAGATGCTGTAGTGATGGGCATTAATGTAACAGGCCAGCAAGGGACAAAGCCACCCAGATCAGAATCCCAGGACTGAATGAAGGTCAGACAGTGCATGTGTAGATACCAGTTTGAGTCTTGAACTGCTCTATTCTGAGAGCCTTTTTAAGCTGAAACCCTCACCTGCCTTTTCTGAAGTCACCTCCTTGTTTTGCAGATGCGACTGGAGAAGGACAAATTTTCTGTAAATCTTGATGTGAAGCATTTCTCTCCTGAGGAGCTAAAAGTGAAGGTGCTTGGGGACATGATAGAAATTCACGGGAAACACGAGGAGCGCCAGGTACTTCTACTTTAACTGTGCGACTGATAGAGTCAGTGTGAACTTCCTCATCTATGGTTAAACAAGGAGACTGCAAAACAATCCTCTCCTGTGCTCATCTCAAATACTTCTAATGTTTTTTATCAACCAATCCTAATGGAAGATGCTCTGTGCAACCCCCCAAGTTGATCCCAGACTGGGCAGCAACAGGGTGGAGATTTATTGCTGATGTTACACGAACTGTGAACTGAACTGGAAAGTCATCTTTGAAATGGGCATTTCTGGGCCTCCCTCTTTCTGGGAAGAGGCCAGGAATGCAGGGAGGCCTTCAATAAGCTAACAATGAACTGTAATAATTAAACCACATAATGAATCAGTGCATTGCCCTGTTCCGTTACCATGAGGCTACCTCTTCCTGAAAAAGGCCCATCTATCAGTTTGTAATCCTTAAAGGCTGTGTTCCGCTGTCAGTCATCCCACTGCTTGGTGGCTCTGGAGACCTGTGTGGCAACTGGGCAGACAGAAGTCAAAAGCCATGTCCAAAGCTGTATGTAACAGGGTTTGCCAGTCCCCATCTCCCTCCCACCCCCCACCTCCACCTCCTTGCCAGAAGGAAACGAATCCACATGATAAAGTAGCTATGTCACTGGAATTGTCAGCTCTTAAGAGCTTCTGGGAGCACAGATCTGTCAGGAAATACAGCATTACTTGTAGCTGGTGGCAGCCTGTAATCCTGACATAGCTTCTGCAAATTTTTTTGGCTAAGAAAATAATCAAGCACTATGGCAGAGATCAGCTCACTAGAAAGCTGTGTATTACTAGAGCTCTGGAGACCCTCAGGAACAGGTGTGGTTGGCACTGCATGTAGGTCTAGCTGCTGCATCTTAGGAATGACATCACATCACTGTGCAATGAAGCCAGTCTCTGGCTGGCACAAGAGCTGGAACATAAAGCCTCCTCATGTAAACAGTGTACCTGCAGGCACCTGCAGCCTAGGTACGGCAGTGTCTCACTTCGGCCAGTCTTGGCTCTTTAAAAAGGGCATCTCATAATAAAAACTCTTTTAACTTTCTGAAAAGTTTTCCTTTGAGAGCTGGACCTTCCTGATCTCAGACTTTATGCAAAGGGCCCATGGCTTAGGTGGAACTGAGTGAACATTTCTAATCAGGGCTGTTCCTTCTCTTCTCCTTTTGAAGGATGAGCATGGCTTTATTGCCAGGGAGTTCAACAGGAAATACAGGATTCCAGATGATGTGGACCCTCTGACCATAACCTCATCACTCTCTCTGGATGGTGTCCTGACGGTGAGCGCACCGAGGAAACAAAGTGACGTCCCTGAGCGCGCTATCCCTATCACCTGTGAAGAGAAGCCTGCCATTGCGGGAGCCCAAAGGAAGTAGGCTGCTATTTAAAGTCACCCCGGGGGGCCATTCAAGAGTACTTTTCATCAGATGCCAGCTATACTGAATGGCTACTCTTATTATTTATGCTGAGTAAGTTTACTAACAAATAAAACATGAATAAGCAGTTTGTATTTTTGTTTTGAGCACTGAGGACAAGGGAAGTGTTGGGTCAAGAAAGCTGTGTAAGGTTGCTGGGCAGGGAAACATACCTGGCATCATTCTTGCTTACAGCTTGAGTGGCAGGTGTGTCCAGGAGAGCTTGTCTTGTGTTCAGAAACACTTTGCTGGTTTCACTTCGTGTACTCTAATGTTTTGCAAACATCTAATTGCACGAGCATTTTCCTTCAATGTTGCCAGAGGATTTCAGAGTGTTTCACAAGCAACAGAAAAGTTTCTCCAGTGGAGATCAGACTGGTAAAACAACTTCATGATAATCGAAACCCATTCGAAGTGTGGGTATTAGATAACAACTGAATGGAAGACAACTGTATCTTAAATCTCTAGAATAACTCATGTTATGGAGAAGCATCCAAGTGCTGCAACCAATTCAGAGCAGTTGCAGATGAAAACTGCATAGCTGCAGTAAACACAGATGTATCCAGAGAGGAAAAAAACATCCTGCTCTCATGGTGCAAATCACATCACTTTGAAAGTATGTTGTCAGTGCCCTTCAAACAATGAACAGGATCTGACGTCTACAGAATTAATCTGATTTATGTTAACATTGTTGAGTGGTACAAAACACTACTAAGTCCTTCTCAGGTGTCATCATCTGCTTAGCACCTCTCTTCTACCCCAAAACCCACCTAATTGCCAAGGCCTAGTGTTTCCTATTAGCTGGTTCTAATAAGCTCTTCCAGTTAAGGTATAGTTGGGCTTGACTGACAAGGCGCAGGGTGACTGGTGACTTGCAGTCACCTCTGCACACAAAACAAACGACAGAAACACACATAGGTTACAAACAATACAGCTTAGAAAGCAGGAAGAACGTTTTTCTCATGATGCTACATGTAGCTTTAATGTGTGGCAGGTCTTTTTGCTTGAAGGATATCCTTGTAGCACAGCTAGCAGACAGGCCTGTTTTTCTGAAGGCATAGTCTGCAGATTCTTTCCATCTCTATTGCTTTTCCTGCATCCTTCTTGTTCCTTCTCTGAGTGTTGGACACAAGCAAAGAAAATGCTGCCATATGGAGGCTTGTAGTCTATTGTGTAGCAGGACTGAGCAGCTGGGTTGAACGAAGGATGTTTCAACTCAGGGTGGTGGCCTGGAAACCAATTAGGTTCTTGTTCAAATCCTAAAAGAATAAACACAAAAAAACTTGAGGAAGTAAGTACAAAATAGTAAGAATATATCCAGAAAGTACAACTGAGGGAAATAATTTCTATAAAGCAGGGTTTTGTTGGGCTCAAACTCAGGAGCAAGAAATGGGAATTTTGAGTGAAAGCTCCTTGGGGATAAACGTGATGAGGTTAGCTAGACAAGAACACTTGAAATGCAAATACCACTCCCCGAATGACTTTAAATACCTGTTCTGGGGTGGCACAGGAGCACAACTCAACAATGAGAAAATGACAGAAAACAATTCTGTCATCTCTAAGCAAAAATGTCATTCAGAAGCTCCTCTTCAGCTACACTACAGATCCAACAGACTATGTTTCAGTTCTGTGCATGTACTTTTTATTCTCTGGTGCCTTCCCCTGTTGTAATCTGAAGAGTATGTTGTTTCAAAGCAGTGAGTATACTGAAAAGAAAAACTCACATTTGGCATGGCTAAATATAAGTAAAAAACTTCAACAATTTATATCTTACAGGAAGACCAAAGTATCTGCAATTGCACTACTACTTTCAAATCAGTCTAACCTAAGATCACAAAGCTTCGGTGATGACTTGGATTCACCATCTGAACAGCAAAGTAAAGACAGCTGGACTGGGGCCACTGTTAAAAGGAGTAAGACTGAGTTTAAACAAAAAAGCATTCCTCACATCTTTACTCCTGCAGTGGGACTGCTGTAGGGCACTCATCAGAGAAAAAGGTGCTGACTGTTGCCTTTCTGCATTTTTAAAAAACAGTAGAAAAGACTAGGAGCAGGGCTGCGGAAAGGGAAGCTACTCATGGGAGGCTTACCTTTGAGGTATTCGTAGCTGGGGATGGAAAAGGTAATGCCCTGTGTGCATGACAAATTAAGTGACCAGTGATCATCTCAACTGAGATTTGCTATATCCGCAGTAAGAAAAAGCACAAGGACATACCTGGGAAGGAAGTGGCTTGGGCTGCACGATTCTCTGGATATCGTATCGTTCTTCATTCCAGTTCCCCATAAGGGTTTTTGTTGAGTAATCATTTTCATTGGTGGTGCACCTCCAGCCATACTGGGAAAACTTCGAAGTGCTGTCTCAGTCCATCCATAGTTCCCCATGGCCAGTAGCATGCATTAAGGAGCCATGGAGGGAGTTGTACAAACAGATCTTGGACATGATCTGGCAATAGAAATCAACAACTCCCTAGGATCAGCCAGGATCTCAACAGCAGGTAACATGACATGGACTGTTGTCCCTTCCACCCCCCTGGTGACTGGAGAGGGACCTCCTATACTTCCATGTGTGGGAGAGGGCATCAGAGAAGAACTGCGTTCCTTCTTGATGCCAAAAAGCACTTTTTTTCTTTTTTTTTTGGGGGGGGAGGGGAGAGGTGGTACAGTAAGTATCTTATTTTCCTAAACTGTGGTATGGTACGGTAAGTATCTTATTTTCCTAAACTGTGGTACTGCATTTCTCAGCTTCACCTTACTGAGTACCTCTCGGAGTAACTCACCCCCCCTTTGAAATAGACGAAGTGATTTACCTGAGGCCACAGGTACTTAATGCCTGAACCAGGACCAGAGCTCATAAACGGCAGGCGGTAGGTCTCTGTTGGCGCTTGCCTTTGCCAATTTTAAGCCTTCCACTGTCATTACCCATGTGACTCCTGAAGCACTGTCCTTGCCCCGTGCAGCAGCTGAGGGCGCACAAATAGAACAGGCAACAGTAAAGCATCGCTGTTATCTCTCTCAAGCCGTAACTTGCAGCCCTGGGACTGCAGCGGCCCGTCAATTACAGCTCCCGGCCTCGCCAGGGGCGCCGGCAGCTATTTGGGCCCTGCGCAGAGGGCCCGTGAGGGGGAGCGGCTGCCGACAA